AAGTGCCAGCAAATTCTGTTGCGCCGCGGAAACACGGCCTTCCCATCCAGAATGAGTGCATTCGGTTCCTTATTCCTTGGAACGTTTAATGAATCCATCCATTATTCTCGCGTGCTGGAAACTCTCAAAGTTGAAGTTCAGTGATCTAGAAATGGCGGCAGAATCACTCAGCCATCGTAACAATCATACATATTGGTGGTCAAATAAGATAATTATGAACAGGTCAACACAACAAACCAAAATGAGCGCAGCAGTAAACAGCATCTTTGAATAGTGGTTCAAATAGTGCGCGGAAGTGCTGTCTCCGTAATTTTGGCGCACCCTGTATGTCGATTCCTTGCAATAGTCAGTAAACTCTAATGACAGATGTCAAAAGGAATGGCAAAGCTCACCTAAACACTAATGGGCTTCCCTCTATCGAAACTGGAGTGTATCCCGTTGCGCACGTTAACTTGTATGACATCATCCAAGTCGCTGCAATCATTTGTAAATAAAGTGGAATAAACGTGGAAGATATAGCACATTTCTAACCAAATCGAGCGTCCATACACTGCTGCAGAGTTGGATAGGTAGCATTAACAGATTCGACAGGAAATCCAGGAGAGTCGCAGTCTGACCTGCGAGCTACACAGGCCAATCCGCTCCGCGCATACCACTAAACCAACATTGTTGCCTCACTTCTCTTAGTATTCAATAAATCAGAGGTAATTGATGGAAGGAGTGGTCTTCCGTACTTTCCCTCTCCTAATCAGCGTATACCTAATGTCATTATGAGTTACTGAGATAAGTTCGGAGATATTCTGACAGAGATCGCGCGTGAGATTACTCGGAAACATTCAAATTTCAAAGGTTTAAGCTTCGAAGTTCTACAATGGTCATTGGTAAATATGCATAAATCCCTAATCAAACATTAAAATTACTTCAACAGGAGCGGCGGTCTCCTTGTGTATTGCAGTCCGTTGGCGGTTTCGGTGGTGGGACAGTGACTACGGATTCTGCTATGTGTTTCTTTGGTCCGCCAATTCCTGTCATGGTGAATTTGCCGCCGACTGAAAAATCAAGATGGAATCGAAAAATTTTCTAGCTCATTACCATTTAGAATTTCTTTGAGTCAGTGAACAAACGATCCGAAAGGAATCGCGAAGACAAAATTATTCCCACTCTCCCGCAGATCAACTCTAGAAGTGAAATGTTGGACGTAGAATGGGTTAGTGTGAAACTCAAACTGGACGCAATATCAAAGCTAAGCGCGTTTGTAACAAATATCGGTCGTCGCGTATGATCTCTAATTCTGGCAGAAAATTAGGAAATTCGCTAGGAATAGCTGACTTACCGGGTCCTTGTCCTGCAAAGGCTCTGTTGTTGCAGCAGAAGGCAAAGTGACGATGAGTGTAGCAGAACTCGTATGAGTTGCACATGTCCGACGTCATTTTGTCTCCGGTCCGTCGACATAATGCCGGTGAGAATATGTATGGTACTTGGTCCCCCTAGAAAAGGAGGACATAATAGTCAACAATAAAAGAATCAAATGCTGCATTTTCCATCGCGACAGTTTGATTAAAAGTGATTGCAAATTCAGATGTAGCCAATTTGTCAAGCGAAATAGTCATATATCGCTGTGTTGAGGCACATGATTTCTCATTTTGCAGTTAGTTCCCATTTACTGAAAAAAAAACCTTAAAAAACAAACTCCCAGAACATATCTATTGAACCAGCATCCACGTCATCAACTGTAGGTAGCTAGCACTTTTGCATGTTGTTTTCCGTGCCTACACATCCATTCTCCTTCCAATTTCTACCTTCTCTCCCAAAAGATCGGAAGAGTATTTAAAGCCAGGTCGGCATTGATTTGAGCTACTAGCCCCTCGAGTGCAAGTGTGGTTCCTATCCCAGAAGTCACGACAATTTCGACTCGAAAATGCGAGACAATGGAACTAGAACCCTGTCTTGTGTGCTGCCGTGCTTCCACCCTTATCAATTGCGGCATACATGGTGTCCGCGCTGCGCCATGCCCTCTCGCGTTTTCGCTTTCCTGCGCATAGCACGGCCAACACCGTGGGAAAATTTCATTGTTTTCTTAGATGATACTTCTTCTCCCCTCTACTATCCTAATCGCACTCGCCTAATTTTTGAGCGAAATAATTCGATTATTTGTTCCTAGTTGGATCCCAAGCCGTG